ATATATATAAATATATATATATATATATATATATATATATATATATATATATATATATATATATATATATATATATATATATATATATATATATATATATATACAGGCGCGGATCCAGCATTTTTTGATGTTTGAGATAACTAACTTCCAGTCATGGTACAAACCCCAAAAATTTATATGTTTATACTTATGTAAAATAAAGATGATTTGCAAAAAATTGCGATGATTGGAGTCTGGGAACAAAAAAGCCCCAAAATTTTGGCCACACAAACCCCAAACAAGAGAGCAACAAGTTGATAAAATATTTTTTGTACAATTCTCAAGTAAATTTATATTCATCGATAAATTCTAAATTTCATGCAATAATTTCTTAATGTTCAAAAATTATAATTGCACAAAGCTTTAACCCCCCTCAATTTGAGGAGTTTACAAATTTTGTAAGGTCATATTTTTTGAACACTAAGAGATTATTGTATGAAATTTAGAATTTATCGATGAATATAAATTTACTTGAGAATTGTACAAAAAATATTTTATCAACTTGTTGCTCTCTTGTTTGGGGTTTGTGTGGCCAATATTTTGGGGCTTTTTTGTTCCCAAACTCCAATCATCGCAATTTTTTGCAAATCATCTTTATTTTACATAAGTATAAACATATAAATTTTTGGGGTTTGTACCATGTCTGGAAGTTAGTTATCTCAAACATCAAAAAATGCTGGATCCGCGCCTGATATATATATATATATATATATATATATATATATATATATATATATATATATATATATATATATATATATATATATATATATATATATATATATATATATATATATATATATATATATATATATATATATATATATATATATATATATATAGTCTTGCATGGTAGTCAGAAAGTTTCTTCCATAAACTGTTTTTTTAAAGAGCGCATTAATAAACCAGACAAGAAAAAGTTTAAAAACTTAAATTTTTTTTTTTTTTACATTGTCATTATTAATTTTTGTACAGTATAAAATATATATAACAAAACAAAACATTTATTGCACAAAATAATTAAACAAATATTTATTGCACAATAAATTTGATAAATTCCAAATTTAATATAATACGCTATGTATATGTCTTATTAATTAATCAATTAATGTAGATTCCATATGCCTTGTTCATTTGCAGAAACATCATTATTATGCTCCTCTTACCCTTGTTTTAATTGCTAACCTGTGATTCTGATTCATCCAAAATGTAACAAAAGGAATGGCATCAAATTTGCTACTAGTTTCTGAATAAATATATTGTCATTAGATTGGATATATGTTCCACAGTAAGGCTGGTTCTTAATTTTAATGCAATTAAATTCATAAGGCTAAAACCTCTCTCAGCTTCTAAACTGCTAATAGCAATTGTGCTTGCTATTTTTTTAGCCTTTAAAATTGAATTATGTAACTGAATATTTTTCAGTTGTATGTTTGCATCTACAAAGTCACAAAAATCATTAACATCTACTTTAAAATTTAAAATTTCACATAATTTTCTAGCCGTGGTGACATAATTTTATCTAATAACCAGGTAGAAGGATCTAAAATCTCAAAGAGCTGCATAAATTTTTCATAGTTATCAGAGTCATTCTTATTCTCATCCATATTTATATGACTAACCGATAAAAGTCTTACTTTCATATTCTTTGCCACACTGTCTAATAATTGCTCTCTGGGAAGAGACACAAATTTATTATTATAATCAAATGGTATGCATTTGAACTCATTTGATGAAATTAAATTTTGAACTTTTTTTTCATAGATACTAAAATTATCATACTTGTGCAGTTCTATAGCTCTTATTGAATGCCTAATTAATTGATCAGCTTTAGATATGGTAATTTTTCTTGATTGTAGCGCATTGGATAGTATCGAAAATTCTTCCAAGGTATCTATCATTAAAGCTAAATCTTCAATAAAATGTGTATTAGCTAATCTTTTGGCTATTCCTGAATTTGATTTGGACTAGATAAAATGTTTATTCAACGCTGGGTATGCTCTCCACACAGCAGTAGCTGCTCCTAAGCTACAGGAGGTTTAAAAACACGACCGATTTTTATTATTTTTAGGTTCAAATCACTAGAAATAGTTTCCAATTCGGCTTTGCTTTTATTTGACTGACGATATATTGCATATATTTTGCCAAAAAATATTTTTAAATGATTTACTTGTTTAATGTCGCTTATGGAATCATCTAGTGCCAATCATCTAGTGCCAATTCAAACAATGCCACACGATTATATTTGAAAGCATTTCAGTTAATTTTGTGGCTACTCCAGATTTTCTTCCTAACATTGTCAATGCATCGTCTGAACAGAATCCCATGAGATTTCTTTGTAAATAGTTTTTATCAAATCCATAGTAAGAAAGACAGTCTATTAAGGTCATAAAATTTTTTATGGCAGTTGTTGACGTTAATTAATTTAAATCTACAAAAATCATGAGAGGTTATATTGCAGACTGTACTTCACACTGTAAATATATTACCAAAGTACTTTTTTTAGCAAGTGTAGAAGCTTTGTCAATTATGATTGACAAAGCTTCTACATATCAATCAAAATTTTTGAATTTTGATTGATAATGTTTTTAAAAACAGTTTTTTTAATCTGCAATGCAATATGTTAAACAATTCTAGTGGCAGTGCGTCTGGAATGTAAACAATTTCCTATATTAACAACATTTTTTTCTTGTAATTCCAAAGCTGCTTCTATATCAGACAATGGTCTGTTTCATTTAACAAGACTATGGTGAAACTGTAATGAAAGTTTTTACAGTAATTGAGTTAGAATTTTATATTTTAACTACATTTAATAAAACTTGTTTGTTAGATTGAATAATTGTTTTTTGAATTTTTAAATGTGAGCATGAATTTGTGTGAATAAAGTGGAATGCTCTTTAATTTTTTTGCGTAGAGAAGCTTGCCTTGTATCTTTTTTAGTTCCAATAGGAAATATTGAACATAAAATCCATCCATTTGATACATGAATATGTTTTTTGTTTTCTATTCTTAAGTTTTTTATTTTTGACCAGTCTTTACCAACCTAATTTACCATCTTTTACCACTGACTATTTTTATTGTTCTGTGAACTAACTCACTTATTTTTCTGTCCAACAATCTGGCAGTTGACTATTGCGTACTGTGCATGATTCCAACGATATTGTAGATGATGCTGATGAACATGAAACTGATGTTTTATTTGAAATTGATTGTATAGGTTCAATATCTGCAGAATTTATTGTTATCTCTAGTATTTCTTCATTGAGTTTTGTTGTTTTTTTTAACATTTACAAAGGGCAATAAAATTGCTTGCACTCTCTTCATTTTTAATAAAAAAAACCTAAAATTTAAACACTGCCATTATATTCACAAAATTTTTAAATTAATGAAATTATATTATTTACAAAAAATAGTTTACAATTGTTTATTTATGTAAACTAAAAATTTAATTTTACTTATATTACTTACTTTACAATTCGACTAATTAATTGTATTTTGTATTGTCAATTCAGTAAACAAAATAGGTTTTTATAGTAAATATAATCTTAGGAATTGCATCTCGAAATTCGAAATTCTAGAATTCCAAAATTCATTTTCAAAAAATAGTTTTGAATTTCAAAAATTTACCAGCGAATTCCAAAATTAAAATTGATTTTTTTGTGCTCTAACTTTTGAATTGTGTTTTCGTTTGTTTACATATAAATGTTCTACATTCTAATTCTATAAGAAGGCATAAAGAAGAAATATGCTAAATTACAGTTATTCTGCATAATACAAGTAGGAAAAGAAAACATTTCCAAATTGCAGTTAACAGTGTCATGTCTTCATTTCATTTGTTGTAATATTTTACCAATTAGAACAGTCTTTGTACTACACTTCGTATTTTAGGTACGCACATGATGTGTGTATTGTGTTGCGCATATGATATGTTTGCGAGTGTGTGGCATCTCAGTGCAATGTGCATATTTTGCATAAACATACAATTAAAAAGGCTTATTTTTTATTTAAGGGTTATTTTAACAAGTGGCTCGCCGCGTTTCAAAATTTTAACAAATGGTTTATGCAAGCTGGACTGACGCGACTAAAGCCTATACCCTTATGTGTGTATATATATATATATATATATATATATATATATATATATATATATATATATATATATATATATATATATATATGTATATATATATACATATATATATATATATATATATATATATATATATATATGTATATATATATATACATATATATATATATATATATTCATATATATATGTATAGATATATATATGTACATATATATATATATATATATATATATATATATATATATATATATATATATATATATATATATATATATATATATATATATACATATTTGGTTTTCAAAAATTAGATAATTACTTTTGGTTATTCAGAAATTAGAAATTTAGTTTATAAAAATCTTATGAGTAGTTGAAAACCAATTTGAATTGAAATTTTTGCTATTAATTTAGTTTTTTTAAAAAAAAGGTACAAAAAGAAGTGTGTGTGTTCTGCTCTTTGAAAACCCAATTTTTAAACGTTTTTTTTTCTCTCATGAGACCGTGACCGTTACTGTTTTCTTTATCAGTAGACAGGTACCCAATAAAGTTTAATATTATTGAGGCAGATATTACCTTATCTATATAAAGGATAAATGAACTTTTAAATCTTATTAAAGTATGTATTATATGACAAAATAATCTTTAAGGTCAATATTGTTTATGATGTTGATTGCTATATATGCTATTTTATTTTAGTCTAAAAATCGCTAATGACATCCTTCTGTTGGAAGGGGAGGGCAGTTTCGAAAAAACATATTGAATATTCTAAAAAGATGAAAACTAATCCAAAACAATTACTACTTAAAAAAACAATTTAAAAATTTGATACAAATGTCACCCATTTAATTCAATAAGAATAATTATACTTACCATAAGCTCCATGATAAAACCAAATGCAGTAAATAAAAATTAACATCTAAAGATTTAAATTGAACTTTTAAATAATTACGTAAAATGCAGATCGTTTAACAAAAAATTAGACACATACAGCCTAATAATGCACAAGTGGTCTAAGTCATACTATTTTTGTTTTGAGATATTAAAGGTTTTGCTTCAAATGTTATTTGAATATCAGTAGCGTATTAGTAGTAAGTGCTGCTATTTATGGAGTTGCTAGAGGAGCTAGAATTTACACTATTTAGAATTATATATACATATAGAATTTACATTAAACAGAATGCACTTTTCCTAACTCAGAAAACCATAAAACTGGAGCTATGCCACTAGTGTTTTGATGGGCTCAAATGTTAAAAAAAATATCTTGCTTCTAAAAACTTTATTATTGCATAAAATAATTTTTTTATAAGAGTGCAAGAGAATACATATATTTTTGCATAATTGCAATTGCATGAAATATAATTGATGAGGTTATAGTGAAATAAATGTTTTTCAGACATCAATAAAAACATTGAATAAAGGTTTGGGCTGAAGCAAAAACTATCTAGATATGAAAGACTTTTATAACAGCGTTTAACTTTTCTTTTTTTTTAATTTTACTTTTTCTGAAAAACTGTGATCATTTTAAAAAATTTTACTTAAAACATTTTTATAAGTAAGATATAAACAGATTCTAGCTGTTGACAAGCTTTCCTTCATCTATTAGGCTGGTTTAGGTGTATTTAAAATACAGTGTTTCCAGTTTAGGATGTTGAATGCTAAATCTTAGCCACTCATTGCATAGAATAAGCTTGTGCCTCTGATTTTATGACGAGGCAACTCATTCTATTATCTCCTAAGGGTACCGTTTTAAAACTTGGTTTTTTGGTTCTGAAGCTGGTTGGTAGTCAGATTTTCTATACTCTGAGGCAGATCACAGAAAGGCTAATTCCATCAACAAATGTAAAAAACTAGAGGAATAACATTGCCATGTGATGCATGGATGGTGCCCCTGTTCATACTTTTGGTATGCACTGACAAGGCCACATTTGGAGCCCTTTCTTACATCTTATGGTTTATTATTAGTAATAGGGCAATGGCTTCAACTAATCACAGCGTACTAAATACATCTGTGCTTTGATTCAAAATCTTTAACCAATATAAAAAATGACATAAGTATCAAAAATCTTTAAAACAAAAAAAAAAAAAAACATCCTAATCACCAAGTTAAAAAATGTCTATCAATCACTAATACTCGTGGTCTTCAAAGTAACTTTTCATCTGATACCTTATGCAAAGATCGCCACATCTATTTGTTTTTTGAAGACTTATTTATTCAGTTAAGCCTTTTTTATCTTATAGTGTTTTTTGGTTATCTTTCTTTAATTTGTAAAGACTCCAATAGTCACATGCTCGCCCAGGGCTTTTAATTTGCAAGAAATTAGCTATTTGTCGGAAAACTATGTTCAAATCTACAAAGTATTTTTTTATGTGATTTAGTCTAGCTCCACTTATTTCTATCACCTTTCTCTTTGTTCTATATCGCTCTCCTTTATCTCAAGATTGCACTCTTTTCAATATTATTTCTGATTAAATTGAATTTCTCCTTACTGACTTTAATGCTTATCACTCTGATTGGCTTGGTTTTAGTATCTGTGACTCTGCACGTGTTAAAACCCACTAATTTTGCCTTTCTTCTGTCTAACACAAATAATCAACTTTATAACTTGCTTTCCAGATAATCTGAATCATTTGCCTTCTCTACTCAACATATGTCTTATTTCTAATCGTAGTCAGTGCTCAGTTTCTTCACATTCACCTTTAGGTGTTTCTGATCAGAGTTTGATCTTTTTTAAAACTATTAGCTCATTCCTCTTCATCATCAGAGTCCACCTCTTATAACTTACCTGAGACTCTTTCTATGATTTTTTTTTTATAATGTACTTTGGATAGAAATCTGACGTCTTCCTGCTGACTAAAGTGCTAGTTAAGTAACTTCTTGGAATAAGGTTGACATGGAAACTTTTTATTCCCTCTCAACAATTCCAAGTAAAACCTCATTCTTCTTTGTAATTTTTCTCTCATTGAGCTGCTGCAATTTTTATAACCATTACTTATATATCTATCACCAAAACAATTCTCTAAGAAGCAGATGCGTGTTTACTATTGCTAGCAAGAATTGTAAAAAGTTTTGTCTAACACCAAATCCTGCTATTCTCAGGTTACAAATTTTTAATCATATTTTGTCTTAAAAATTAGACTCCAGAGACTTTTGAAGAATCTTTGACATTGTTTATAATAAAGGCAAATCTGTTGATTAGCCTCACTAGTATAGTTCAGATTTTGTTACTTCACCTGAAGACAAAGCTGTAATGTTCGCTAAGGAGTTTTCATCAATCTTGTCTCTTGATTCCACTAAATACATCTTACTAGAAAATGCTAACAAACAGGTTGATCAATTGCTTGACATTTATATCACTCTAGCTTCTGTGTGGCATCTATTATCCCTATTTTTTTAAAATTCTCTAGAGCTATCTGATTCGCTTAACTATCATCCCATTAATCTTCTTCCTCTCATTAGCAAAGCTTTTGAGTCTTTAAAAAACAAACACTTAATCACTCATCTTGAATCCAAATAGATGCATAAAATAGATGTGAAAAGGCTAGAGCTATCACTTTCAACGTTTCTAAAGTCTTTGATAAAATTTGGCAAGCTGGTCTTCTTTATAAGCTCTCTTCTAAAGGTTTATCAGGTAGGATCTTATTTAGTAAAATTATTGAACCCTTCCTTGCCAATAATAGTACAAAACCTGTCCTCAATAGACAGCACTCTTCTACATTTCCAATAACTTTCGGAGTTCCTTAAGGTTTGATCCTCTGCCCTATAATTTTTTTAATTTACATTAACAATCTCCCAGAAGTTCTTACATCAAAAGTGGCATTATTCTCCAATGTTTCAACCATTTATTCCGGTCTTGATAACAAGCCAACACTCTCCAACAGTAATATTGATTGCTTGGAGCCTTGTTAGATGTTTTAAGGCCTTGTTGAAGATGTTTTAGGGCATGAGTATAAGTATTTTTATGAAGATCTTTCTTATAAAAACCTAGTCATTGTAAAATATGTCTTTTGCACAATTAAAGATATAAATTAAAGTTACAGAACTTATTTCATTACTTATGAAATAAAAGGTTTATAATTTATAAATTATAAATTGTTACAAATTGATTTGATGTTGAACCTGCATCTGCATTAGTAACATTTTTTTATAATTTGGCTGGTAAGTCTTTCTCTTGTTGCAATCAATGTGGCAATATTGTTTTTAAGAGCGCATTTTCATTTGTTAGATGCAGTGCAGTAATAAACTTTTAAAAACACCAAGTTTTCACAAATAGTATTGACAATAGTATTTGCGAACCTTAAATGCTTTGAAAAGTGTTTTACTGCACAGCATTTATCATATGAAACTATTTTCTTATAAACCATATCGTCACATTGATTGTGACAAGCGCAAATTTTAGCAGTCAAATTACAAAAAAATGTTGCTAATACAGATGCAGATTCAAAGTTAAGTCAATTTATATGGTTTGATGCAAATGTTAAACTTAATTATACCACCTGAATGGGAACTGCTCAAAAAATGCAAAAAACTTGAACATCATTAACAATTAATAATGAAAATGGCAAGTTTTCTGGAATTTACTTAATCAGATAGAATATAAAACATTATATTAGAGAAACTGAAAGAAAGAAGTACACAATAAATTTAAATGCACCATCTATGATATAAAGTTTAAAAAAGAATCAAACAAAGTAAAAATTCCCATAATTGAGTTACTTGAATTATATTCCTACAGAATCCATGTTTCATGGATTCCAAAGCAAAAAAAAATTATTATAAATTACGATTTTTGAAAGAAGTTGAAGAAATTATTATTAATACTATATTATTCAAATTTTCAATAATTATAGAAAACCTTAAACAATGATAATTGTTTAAAACTTTTAACTTTTTTTTTTTTGATACTTTGAGAAATTTCAAAAGCTAAAATTTAATCTTATATGAAATTCTTGTTAATCAAATTTTTTAAAATATTCAATGATCTTGTTATTGGCTACATCTAACTATTCAACAAAAAACTCAAAAAATCAACAAGAAAATTGAAGTCTTTGGTGCTATAAACTTATATTTTTTATGTCGCACTCAAGAATTTGAATCTAACAATTTGATTAGTAATGATTCCGATAAATTATTTATTAAAACTTTAATTTTTTTTTTTAATTAATTATTATTTTGCTAACTAAATTAGATTATTTGAAGTTTCAAATTAGATTCGACAGTTGAAAAGCGAATAACCTTTTACAAAAAATACAAAAATTTTGTTGAAAAATATTTAAAAATAAACAAAATAATAGCATATTTAAATCAGTTTTAACAATCACATAAATCATTTCAACTACAATTATCGTTAGAATTTTTGTTTACATGGTTATGGAAAAATAACAGCGTTAATCACAAACGTAAACAAACAAGCATCGGTGCTATATCGACAATAAAAATATCTACAAAAAAAAAAAATTATTAATTTTTTTTTAAAAAACTTAATTTGCCGTTTAAAAATAGTTACAACAACCATTTATATTTTATATTTTTATTAATTTATCAATGGCGGGACTTCTAGAAAATCATGAAGCACTTTTTCTGCTCAATTCTTTACAAAAATACAATGTCCGTTATGAAATAATAATAGACTTACATATAATAGCAAAGATAAATTGTGAAGGAGCTGTCCATAAACTATGTCAGCAATTTTTTTGCTATTTTTCCCCCCTCCTCCATTTCAATAACTTGTCAGTTTTCAAGAGACTCCCCATAAAATTATATAGCATTCAATAACCCACCTACGTCCCAAGTGAATGAATCAAGTGCAACATTAGTACTAAATTTTTATCACAATTTATGCACACAACAGATTCACAATCCGTGAATGTGTAATCCTTTTCACTTGAATTTTAGACTTTATAAAGTCTAGTATAACAAAAAAAGGCATAATAAATAACAAATTACATAAACCAGGGGTTGCCAACCTTTTGAGAAGGAGGAGCTAAAGGTACAAAACTTTGATTTACAAAACTTTTTGCGCAAACGTTGTATTTTTGATGAAGGTATATCTTCATTTTTCTTTATAAAGAGATTTCAACTTTGTTCTGTAAGAATAAAGGTAAAATCTCTTTAAGTAAAGAACAAAGTTAAAATCCATTTCTAAAGAGATTTTACTCTTCTCTTATAAAATTAGCGTTGAAAGTTGAAGAATGTCATGCTTGCTCATTAAAAACCAAAGTGATTTTTGTATAGTATTTTTAATAAGATAAAGTAAATTCGGTTATATATTATTTGGACGACTGAATAAACGCAATTTTCATAAATGCAATTTGGCATAAGTGCAAATAGGTTAGGTGCAAACTGGGAAAAGTGTGAAATGACATAAGTGCGAACTGGCATAAGTGCAACTTGGCATAGCTGCGCCCAACTAATTTCCAAACATTGGCATGAGTGCGAACTGACATAAGTTCGCACTAATGCCAGTTAACACTTATGAAATTCGCGCGTATTCAGCCTCCCGACGTTATCGTCTCGCTAATCGCTAGCTAGTGAATGCAAAACAGCGGCTAGTCACTACAGGAATGAAAGTGGCAAGACAACGATTAACTATTACTACGCTGACTATTGTGATTTTTTTAATCGTATCTAACTGGATTACGCATGAGATTGCTGTGAATTTTCATATAGCAACTATTTTTGAAAACCCATTTATTTTACATGGGCTTTAAAAATGTTTAGCTAATTATGTAATAAATATTTTGTTAAAACTCTTTTCTTCATTATTATAAGTTGTTTTTAGCAGAATTAGCTGTAACTTCTTAGTTTGAAATTGGAGTATTTTTCATTAGGACAATAAAATGTGTTAGGTACAATATTATTAGGTCTGACATTTTTAGTTCTGATGATGAAATTTGAAAAACAAGTTTGAATTTCAAGCAACAAAAAATTATTATTATACAATGAATTAATTCAAAACCATTTGACAATGGTACTTTTCTGAGAATAAAAAGTGATACAATTGCCACCATGATTCTTGATAAATATCTGCATCAATTTTTATCTTTTTACTTTATTAGAGTTGCATCCATTTTAACTTTTATAAAATAAAAATACGGAGTTGCACAACATAGTAATTTTTTGCATATTTATTTATACAACATAGTTACTACATATGGCCGACGACACGAGTTTTAAAGTAGATGGGCACAATTGTCAATTTTAAAAAAAATCCTATATATAGTATAACCCCCTGGCCCTCCGGTGTCGTCGGCTCTGCATAATATATAAAACATAGTCACAACAGATATACAACAGATAAACAACATGGTTATCATGTTACAATTGCATTTATTTTTATTAGTGATGAATAAATTTGAAGCCATTAAACCATAGTCACCTAGATTATGAGAAATCTTTTTTATAGCTTAGTGAACTAAAATGTAATCAATAATGCAATGAAAATTTACAACTATAAAGTGTAGGATGCTTACAGTTATATTTGTTCAAACATGTGGTAATGGATTATTATGACATACAGAACAGACGCGTTTAAAGAGCTTTTCAAAGTTTTTAATGGCAAAAAAAGTTTACATTAGCTCAATTAATAGAAATAATCGAAGTTCATGAAAATACCGGTTATAAAAATTTTTAAAAATCGAAATTGTGAAACAAGAAAATAAATCAACTTGAATGATGAAAACATGGTGATGAAAAATTGAATATCTGAATTAAACAAAGCTATCAAATTTGTAAGTAAAAACTACGATTACCTTTACATTGACCTTTAAGATATGGCTGTTCGATTTAGCTTTTGGACAGCAGTTTTCTCTAATTGCGTAATTCCTCTAGTGTTTGCAAATTAAATGTATTTATATAGGAAAATGTTTATTTAATTATACTTTCTTTATATTGTTTATTTATATAGTTTAAAGTTTATATGCTTTAGTTTATATTAGGCATGGGCGTTTGATTTTTTCGTCCGGTAAATCCGTCCGTTACCGTTAACGTCCGTTATGTTAAAAAATTTTAACGGACGATAATAACGGAAAATTTCAGTTAAAATTTTCTAACCGACCGATACTTTTTTGTTAATTTCCGTTGATTCTGTTGATTTCCGTTAATTTCACTAGTTTTAAATAAAAAAAAAATTTGTTTAAGTTGTTTAAAAAAAGTTTCATTTAATCGAAGAAACAAAAAAAATTTTGAAATATACAGTTCGATTATCAAACTAAAGGTTTTATAAAATTTATTAATTTATAAAAAATTATAAGCAATAATTTTATTGAAGCGAAAATTTTATAATTTTATATTTCATAAATGTATTTTTTTTCGCTTAAGCCTTTGAGCCGATAAGACGTGTTTTTGTTTGAGCAATTTGTGTTTGTGTTTACAAGTTCGAGTAAAATAAAATTTAATTAAAATAATTATTGCAAACATGGTAAATGTTCAATCAACTGAGTTTAATGTATATAAAGCAGATCAAGATAAATTAATAAAATCACTAATCAAAACAATCGACGAGTTAAAAAATTGTAATTTACTTTTAACCGAGAGACTAAATGTTCTAGAGAAAGCTAAAGTTGTACCCTCCACGTCTATATCTTGGGCTAGTGTTGTTAGTGGAAATATGCCACCGAAAAGGTCAACCGAACAACTTCATTTAATGAACGCTGTTGTTGCCGAGGCAAAAGAAAGAGAAAAACGGGAAAGTAACGTTGTAGTGTTTGGTATCGAAGCCTCAAAAAAAGCAGATTTATTAAGTGCTAGAGAAGAAGAAAAAAATTCTATTCTCCACATGATGAACTCTATTAATGCAAAGATCGAAATTAAACAAATAATAAAATTAAAATCAAAATCCGACAAAGAATCACCTTTTCTTATTGTTCTTAACAACCGAAATGATAGAAATTCTTTTCTAAAAGCTGCAAAAAGTTTAAAAAATTCAACCGAGTTTAATAAAGTGTTTATCAATCCCGATTTAACTGTAGCAGAGCGATACAAAGCTAAGTTATTACGCGAGGAGTGCAAACAAAAAAATTTAGAAAATTCAGAACCCTCACTTTTTTATTATGGCATACGAAATGAAAAAGTCATAAAAATTAGCAAATAGCAATCATTTTATAATTGCAAAAACCAAAAATATTTCAGTCACGGCTCATTAACTTCTTTAGTTATTCCAAAGTCATTACAAAAAAATCATGCCTCAAGCATTAGTAAACAACGTATTACTGCTGTAAACAACAAAAGCATTAAAAAGATTATCTGTTCAAAACGTAGCAACTTTATAAACTCATACAATCACTTAACCACAAATTCGTTCAACAATTTTACAGTTTATCTTTTTAACGCAAGAAGTCTTGCCAACAAACTTAACGATTTTTTTTTATACGTTGAGTCAAACAAACCTGCCTTAATTTGTGTTTGCGAAACGTTTTTCAATGATAAACTCCCGAATTCCATGGTCTGTCCAAAAAATTATTCCATTTATCGTAAAGACCGAGTACGAATTGGCGGTGGTGTAGCTATATACTGCAGAAATGACGTTAAATCCGCCATAGTAAGTATTACTCAAACTGACAAAGATATTGACATCATTTGTGTTGATTTAATTTTTGGGTCTAGTAAACTCCGCTTAATTACTTGTTACCGTCCACCGTCCTATTCTCTTGATGATTATATCTATCTTGAATCAATGATCTCGATAATTAGCAATCTCTGTGAATCTGTTCCTCAATTTGTCATTGTCGGAGATTTCAACTTACCGAAAATTGATTGGGTTAACTATGTTTCGCCAATTGAGAAATGTCATATTCTTTTTTTAACTTTGGTAAATAATCTTGGTATGTACCAATATGTACTGGAGCCCACTCGAGAAAATAATATTCTTGATCTTGTACTTTCAAATATCATTTCCCTATTAAGTAATATTTCCGTTAAGTGTCCATTTAGTACAAGCGACCATAACTCAGTCTTTTTTTATATAAACACTTATATAAAACTTTAATTATTATCAGCCCGAAACAAACTCTGAATCTTTTTACGACTTCAAAAATACAGATATAATTGCTTTTAATTCTTATTTATCAAAAATAAGTTGGGACTTCGATTTTTCTTTTGTTTTTACAACTGAAGAGTATTGGAACATCTTTTCTAATCATCTTCGTAAAGGTATTGATCGTTTTGTTCCAATCAGAACAATATACCATAACAAAAAAAGTCGTTCTTATCCAAAATATATTTATAAAATGCTAATTCGCAAATCTTTTCTATGGAAAAGATGGTCAATCACAAAGACCACCTTGCACAAAAAGGCATTTATCCAATATGCATCAAAATGTAAAAAAGCCATATCCACACACCACAAAAATGTGGAACTAAAACTGGTTAAAGAAAATAACTTAAGTAAGTTTTTTAGTTATGTAAATAAAAGTCTAAACAACCCCAAAAAAAAAATATCCTCTAAAAACAAATAGCAACTTTACTACTACCAATGTTGAGATCGCGGAAGTGTTTAACAAACACTTTGGAAGTGTTTTTACCATAGATGACGGAATTTTGCCTAAAATAAATACCTTTGTTAGTGAACATATTAAGATGAATCCAACGTTATTCTTGTTATTTATTAATGATCTACCCTCTATAGTAAAAGATCTTAATTGCTCTCTAATGTTATATGCTGACGATATCAAGTTATATTGTTCATTTAAGGATGCCGATTACAGTCACGATCTTGCTGTAGCCATTTATAAAGTTTATCTCTGGTCAAAAAAATGGCAATTAAAAATAGCCAATAATAAGTGCTTTACTCATAGAATAGCACCTACTTCATTTTGTAAAGATATAAATTACAACTATCAATTAGGCGATCATAATTTAACTTGGTCTACAAACCTAAAAGATCTTGGTGTGACCATGGATTCTTATTTGAATTACAGTAATCATATTTCAAATATCGTCCGTGTATCAAACATTCGAGGATATCTAATCCTTAATTGTTTTAAAAGTCGTGATCCACGTGTTATCGTTAAAGCCTACACTACTTATATAAGACCGATCTTAGAATATTGCTCTCCGGTTTGGTCGCCAAATCGCACTAAAATGAACAATACAGTGGAAAGAGTGCAAAGACGTTTTACCAAGAGAATTTCTAACCTAAATAATGTTTCATATTCAAGTAGACTTAGTATTCTTGGTTTGGAACTACTAGAAATTCAACGCCTTAAGCAAGACATGATTACATGTTACGAAATTCTGAAAAACTTAGTTTGCCTAAATAAATCAAGTTTCTTTTTATTTAACAACTATATTTACACTCGAGGACATAATTTTAAATTACGCAAACTAAAATGTAAACTCGATGTCCGTAAACACTCTTTCTCACTCAGGGTTGTTAATATTTGGAATAACTTGCCGTCTGACGTCGTGAATGCCAAAAATATAAAGAGCTTCAAAATTAAAATTAACTCAATCGACTTTGAAAAATACTGTTCCGGCTAACTGGTTTTTGTTTTATAACTATGGTCTTATATATAATTGTAATATATATTTTAAATTAACTAGCATTTGTATTATGTGATTGTAGGGCACGTTGTCAGAGTCCTTCATATTTTATGGACCTGCGTGTCCTTTAGAACATGTATCACTGTTCTAATAAATTTTAATCTAATCTAATCTAATCTAATCTATAATTTATGAAATATAAAATTATAATGATATAAATTTATAAAAATATTATTTTACAGCTTTAATGAAAAATTGAAAACATTTTTGTACATTTGTTAAACTTATAATTTAACTTATAATGTATAATTTAAATTTAAATAAGTTTTTTTTATTAAAAACAAAAAGGGTTTTAAGCTGATAAATTTCAGTAAGATGAAAAATTACCGTTAACAAATTTTAATGTAACGGATTTTAACGGAAATTTGAATAACTTTTTTTGACGCAACGGAAATTAACGGTTTTTAACGGACTGCCAAACGCCCATGCTTAGTTTATATACTTTAAGTTTATATACTTATAGTTTATATACTCTATTTATATTGGTTAAAGGCAAAAATAAATGGAAATGGAATAATTTCAATTTCCAATTTCCGGAAAGTGTAAAGTATTTAAAAATTAATCACTTTCTTTAGGTTTTAACATGATATGAAGTTTATAATATTACTATTAATTAAATTTTTAATTAATTTTAAAGGATCTTTATTTTTTAATTTATTTTTATTTAAAAAAGATTTCTATTCTACAAATAGTTGGTTATATATAGGGCTTTTTTTTGCACTCTTTAAAACTAATGTAAATCTTAAGTTTCTTGATGAAAGGCTACTTCTTTCTTTTCTTTGAACTTTCTTTTTTTGCTTTATTAAAAGCAGGTTCTACTACGACAGAAGATGCTGGTATAATGCAATACTTTCAAACCGCACCAGCTAACATAGGCAAACTTGATGAATTTTTTTTCAAAAATTGACTTAAACTTAAAGGACTTAGAAAAGCTTCTTTTTTATGAAAGTTTATTTCTCCCAGTATACCTTTATCTTTTGCGTTTTTTGGAGTTGCTTGAGAGACAAACAAGCTGAACTGCCAAGTAGCTTGTCTGCTGTGAATTGTTTTGTTATGTTTTTGCTAGATTAAGTCCGCAATCGTTTTGTTGTCCGCAATTGATTTACAACGGAATTATTTTTAAAGATATTAACTAACTCCTTTTTCTTTCTTGAATTTCTTCTGCATTTAATTTCTTCTGCGCTTAACCATTTTAAATCAAGTGGAACTAAATAAACTGCTTTCAGTATGATTTTATTTTGAGTGTCTGTTAGTTTTGCCAACTCAGTGATGCTCAAGTTGCTAAATAGGAATTCATTTATTTCTTTTTCTTTTATTATCTTATTTATTGCTAGATTCAGTTTCAAGACTATGAAACAAAATTCTTTTGGCAAAAAAAGTCAAAAAAAAATGATAAACTCTCGTAATTTCTTGCCGATAAAAATGGCTCAAGATCTTTGATTTAAATATCAACAAGTGCCCAATTTTTATCCGTAAGTTCTAACTGTTTCAATTGCGGTGAAAAAAGACTGATGCGCATGCATCAGTCTTTTTTCACCGCTAAATTTAAGTGTATCTCTTTTTCACTTTTTTTTTCTTAATAAAAAGTAAAAGTAGAAGTTGAAATCTGGTATTCACAAAAAATGAAAAACTTGTTTTAAACTCGAAAAAAATTCATTTTAACTCGATTTTATTTGATCTCTATAGTTACTTATTCGTAACTTAGACAAATTTCCTGCGTTTTGGAGCAACTGATGCAATTGTTCTTCAATAAATGCAAATGGGGACTGCCTAAAAAGCCGAATTCTAAAACGCCGAAAAGCCGAATTGCCGAAAAAAATGGCGTCTTAGTAGACCTGCTGTAACCGTAAAAAAAGACAACAAAAAGTTAAGTATCCCCCGGATTTTTTATTGCGCATTTGCAAATGCGGGACACAAGAAAAAGCCAAACTTGGCTTTTGCTTCTATCCTTTTAAACTTTTGCGAATAATAGCCCGGTGGGAAATCGGCTAGCGAATAGCTAGCTATAAACGTTACAATAAAGAGAGCGATTTGGCCACGAGGATCGCTAGCTTTTTAAAGTTAGCGAAAAGCTATCGATATTTGTAAAGATAAAGACAGCGACTTAACTAGGAGGACAGCTAGCTTAATAAGCTAGAGACTCACAGGCTATTGTAGCTACCGTCATATCATAATAAAATCGCTATCAAAAATATTTTGGTATGCAGCTATCAACCAGCTATAGATTTGTAGATATTTTGTAGCTAGCTACAAAGCTACGGTATGAAGCTAGCGACACGTTGCTACAAAATCGCAATGTTTAAAGTTCAATTATTCTCTTAATTGTAATAGACTCAACACTAAAAATCGAATTTTTAAAGATGTTGAGACATTAGTAAAGAATAAAATAAGAAAAAAAATCGCTTAAAAATCGCTATGAAGCTAGCTAGTCGCTCGCTAGTCGCTCGCTAGTCGCTAGCTCATTTCCCACCGGGAGCGGAAAAAGAGATGAAATAACAATAAATGTTTATAAAATTATTTTTAAATTTGTTTGCTAATTTTATATTTAGGAGAAGATTTGCGTAAAAATTGTTAACTAATTAAATTTAGAAGATTTTAATTGGAATTATTGATAACAACCTCGGTGAACCATCGAGCAAGCGAGTTTTCAGATAAATAATTACAAGAAAGGTGTGTTAAGAAAAAAACTTTTGTTGCTGTGTAAGAGAACCAACCGGTACACTACAACAATTTTAAGCAAACCTTGTCTACAAGCAGAGGGCATTTTTTTTTTTTTTTTTTTTTTTTCAGCTTACAAAGTTAGTCGTTTTACAATACAATAAACTATTAAAATTACTTTACAAATATATATATACAAATCGTGATAACAGTGTAAAATTACTTTACAAATATATATATACAAATTGTGATAACATTTTGTGATAGAGAGCATCTCTTGTGATACCAATTCTTGTTACACGATAATATTATATGTGGGCCTCAAACTATCGTATACGAACTAATATTATATCGTATACGAACTAATATTATATGTGGGCCTCAAACGCTAAACGTATACGAACTAAATATATACCATAACTTGTTATTTATGTTTAAACTTCAAAATGAACTAATTCCAAAATATTTTTATAAAGGTTTCTCTCTAATTAACCATAAATATGAAACAAGACACTCAATAAATAATTACTACATCCCATCAACATCACTCAAAAAATCTGACTTCTCAATTACATGTCGGGGGCCACGCTTGTGGAAGTCAGTTCTTGACGAAAATATGAAAAAAATAAAATCTATTGATATATTCAAAAGAACTATAAAAAAACACTTACTAAACTCAAACATTACATACATTCTTTCATTTTTTTAAAAATAATATTTTTTTGATAAATTTGATAAAAAGCTTTTTTTTTTTTTTTTTTTTTTTTTTTTTTTTTTTTTTATTTTTTTTTAATATATATATTTACATATATATCTTTCTTGTTTGATTTTCTCTTTGACTGTTTTTTTTTTAACTTTTTTTAATAAATACTAACAAATGAATTTAAATCTACATAACGTTTGGAATCTTTTTAATATAAAAATATTTTTGAATATATACTTCGCTTTGTATTGAATATGTATACGTATATGTTCTGATTTGTAAAAAAAATTCAAACTTTTTAATTTACGCATTGTATACATTTTTATTTTTTTATTTCGAGATTTTATTATTATTATTATTATTATTTTTTTTTTCTTTCTAATTTTTACTTTTTTTAATTTTTAATTTATTTTAAACTTTTTAATTTTTTTCAATCTTTTTACTTTATTTCAAACTCTTTAAATTTTTTTATTTTTATTTTAATTTTGTTTGAATGTTTGTTTATTTTTTCAAAATTTTTAATTTAACTCTTTTTTATATTATTGGAATTTTAGAAATTTTATATTTCTCTATTTCACAAAAGGGCTTGATGATAAGACTTTATGTCTTCTACTTGCCCCTGTCAGCTTGTAATTATATATATATTTATTCGAATTTAAAGATAACATTGTAAAATGTGTAAAACGACAAAAAAAAAAAAATAAAAAAAAAAAAAAAAAAAAAACTCATGTGAAAATGAATCCTTGCACACTGAGCAACATTGACGCTAGATATCTTTGAAGGTCCTCACCAATAACTAGCATCTTTTACAAATATTTTCAAAGCTAATGTAGGCGATCTTAAACAGACCAAAACATTTTGAAACATTGCAAATAACAGAACAAAATGTAGCTTTTAGCTTTTTTGGTCTCAGTTCAAAACTTTTGAAAGAGTTTTTATACATCCTTGTTTTGAATCAAATCAAATTGAACTGAAAAAAGTAACATTTAAGTTTCAAAGTACGCGCGGATTAATTAATGAATCACCTCTGCAGTACTTACTCAAAAATATTTAATCAAAGGATTAGTCACCTTGAGTACGCTTAAAGACTTTAAAACTGCAAACATTTGCAGATAATTAAGGTGGCTTTTTGTTATTCATTTATGAATTCATTTATGTGTTAGAATCTAATCAAGGCGTACTTAAATAACAGGCCTTCTCATCGCGCAACGGCTTAAAAAATGTGGAGGCTGATTTAGTTAGCGGCAAAAGTTACTACGAATAACTTGTATCTCTACTAGAAGACTTAAAAATGCCCAGAAAATGTTGTGTTACTGGTTGTAACTCTAACTATGACTCAGTAAAAGATAAGACAACTACTTTCAGATTACCGAGAGATCCAGTAGAGCGTCTAAGATGGATTAAAGCAATCCCAAGAGAAAATATACCAAACAAACATGACACTGTAGTTTGTGCAAAACATTTTCCACCAAACTTCCAAGTTATTAAAGTAAAAGGAAGAGAAAGACCTCGAGATCCACCTAGTGTATTCGAACAAATACCCAAGAGTTTAGTGCCAACTCCTCCACCAGAAAAAAGAACAACAACAAAATCCAAAAGCTCTGTAAGATCAATAAAAGAAGATGAACTTTCAAAATTCGAAGAGCTTTACAAAATTGATTCATTCGAAAATTTTTGTAATTCGTTATCTCTAGAAAAACTTAATGATTCAGTTGTTTATTATAATTGTTTAAATAGCTGTTGTATTCAATCAAAAGAGCATGAAAACAATACTGGTATTAATAAATTTTGTTTAATAGTATTTAATGACTTATCATATGAAGCCTATCATGCTGGAGTAAGATGCACTATTCCTTCCTTAGTTAAAAATCGTATTCATAAGTTCAAATGTTGGTCGCAAGTTCATGAGGCATTACGATATTTGATTTTCTTTGAAAAGTCAGAAAAGAAAACAGTTTTAATTCAGCAATTTGAATGCATGAGTAACATGAACTCAAGTAATATTCTTAAGCAAAAATATTCGCCTGAAGTAATTGTTCAAGCTTTTGAGTATTTTGCACAGTCACGTAGTTTATACAATCACTTAAGAAATGATTTTCAACTTCCTAGTATTGCTACCCTTACACGTTTAACTTCAAAAGTTTCACACTTTGATGATAATACTTTTATTTGTAGTGTTTTTTCAAAACTCAACAATGGTCAAAAACAATGTATACTATTATTAGATGAAGTTTATGTTAAACCTATGCTAACTTATCATGGAGGACAGTTGTTTGGTAAAGCAGTAAATGATGAATCCAATCTTGCAAAAACTGTATTGGCTTTCATGGTTGTATGTTTTTATGGAGGACCAAAATTTTTATTTAAAATGTTACCAGTAAATAATTTAGATGCAGATTTTTTATATGATCAAACTATTATCTTAATCAACTAAATTACGAAGGCAAATGGAAAAGTTATTGCTTTAATTAATGATAATAATAGAGTAAATCAAGCATTTTTCAAACGATTTGATTGCATATTTCCATGGTTAACAACTGATGGCATTTTTTTACTCTTTGATTTTGTGCATTTAATAAAGTGTATAAGAAACAATTGGATAACTGAAAAGTCTGGTGAAATTGAGTTTAGTTATAGAGGAAAAAAATATAATGCTAAATGGGATCACATCAAAAAGCTTCAAAAGTTAGAAGAAGGTGAATTGGTTAAAATGTCTAAGTTGACTTATGTTGCTGTTAACCCAAGGCCAATTGAGAGACAAAAAATTGATACATGTTTAAAAGTTTTTTGTGAAGAGACTATAAATGCATTAAAGTGTCATCAAGGTATGAAAGATGATGATATTGATGGAACTATTATTTTTTTAACTAAGGTGGTTCAATTTTGGAAAATAGTCAACGTTAAAAGTCCATCCGAAGAAATCCATTTGAAAGACAACTTACGAGCTCCCATATCATATGTTGATGATTTACAATTAAATGATTTAATTGAGTTTTCTGAAATGTTAAAGCCAACATTGATTCAAAGAAAAAGAATTAGAAGTATAACCATGGATACAAGCAATGCATTATATAAAACTTGTAATGGTTTAGTTGAACTAAGTAAGCATTTGTTAGACAATTCTCAAATGTATGTACTGCTTGGGAATTTTACAACAGACCCCATAGAAAGAGCATTTGGAAAACTCAGACAAGGTAGTGGGGGAACTTATTTTATAAATACTCAACAAGTAATTGAAAAGTGGAATATCAACAAAACCAAACTATTTCTTCAGAAAACTATCAACATTTCAAGTGCTGAGTTTACATCTGGTCATATTTGTGATAATTGTTTTTATAAACAATTTTAGACCAACTTTCATCGAATATTAAGTCATCTTTAGTTTACATTGCAGGTTATATTTCTAGAAAAGACAATGAAGATGATAACGATGACACTTATCTGTATTATAGTAATTATGGAAATTTTACATCTGCCTTAGATCGTGGTGGTCTGAAAATACCCAGTGATACATTTTGTGAATGGGTATTCTTAAGTTACATTTTGTTTAATTTTGTTGGCACATCAAACTTTTGTAGATATTCTATGTCCTGTTTATTCATGGATATTGCATGTATTTATGGTTTCACCATAATTACAAGAAACCATTGTTATATTCTTACAAATATATTATTTAACAATTTTTGCTATATGCATTCACCTGCATCAGACAAGGAAACCAAAGTTAAAGCTTTAAAACTGTTTTGTTAGCTTTTGTGAATAAATATACCATAAAAAGTTTCCAATTTAACTTTAGATGATATTTCGTTTAAAAATTGTTAATTTATATTTTTACTTTTTAATTCTTTCTGTTAATGTTTCATTGTATGCAAATACATAGAAGTAGCTTGGTTATCTTTTGTTATTGTTATTTTTGAACTTACAAGGTGTTTTTTTTTTTTTACTTTCTTGACAAAATAACAATTATTTTTGTTTTATAAACGTTTTTGTAATAAAAATATCGACTTCTTTATAAAATGATAAAATATTATTTAGTAAAAAATGGCATGGTTTAAGCCTTACATTCTTCTTATCCTTAGTTTTTTATTTAATCAGGTTATGCATTTAGAGAAATAGACTAAAATAATCAAATCACAAGCTCCTACTATATTGTTAAAAGAATTTTTAAATATTTAAAACTTAAAAAAAAAATTGTTTAATAGTTGAGAGCATCAAAACCAAATCAGCCTCCACATTTTTCAAGCC